GAAGCAAGATAATCCGGCACTGTATTACAGCTCATTAAAGCGTTTTAACTCAATCTTCCAATTCGCAACGACTTCCCAACTACAAAAGTCGGGCTGCGACGAGCCTACGCAATTGGAAAGAACGAATTTAAGAAGACAGTCTTGGCAACAGAAATGCGATTCCTCCGATTTCTCAAACGGCTTTCTGCCGTGCGAGGCACCTGTTTTGGCATGGTGCTCTCACAGTGCAGTGCCGCCTGTTTCTCGTCCCCGACTTTTGCAGCAACCAGGGAGACCTTCTGTTTTGACACGAAGGGCAACTTCTGGTACAAAGATTGGACAAACATTGTCTGTTATCAGCTGATGGCACCTTTTGTCGTTCGGTCATACTGCTCATGACCAAAACGGCTGTTTGCTTGTGCGATGGAAGCTTTCTGCGCTCCGCAAGCTTGCCTTGCAGGAGTGGGACGGTTCTTGCTTGGCAAGTATGATCTCCAGCATGCCTGTGTGCTATCACAGATCCTTGCGTATTCCAGGCTCATTGGCACATCGCGGGTCCATATATGGATGGCGACAATATCCGGTTCAGCGGGAGCGGCTGCCAAAGACACGCAGGCGAGGCTGTTCGGAATTGAATCTGACCAGTACTGTCCGCGTCGCATTAGCCACATAATCCTTTGTCGACTGTTGATATAATAGTGATTGTTTCATGACATGCCGTTGGGAAATGTGTTGGCTTTAAATGTACAAGACCCGGTTATTCCACTTGATGCACCAAGTGCGTTGTTCAGCATGAGGTTAATGCAGTTGTGCTCCTGTCCTTGCCAGGTTCCCCCGCAGCGGGCGTAGTGCTCAGGTTTTCTGTGCGCTCTGCGCAGCTGGTCGGCTTGGTGATGCTCCACCCTTACCTCGACGGCGTGGCCCGAAGGCAGGAAATGCTAGTTTGCGTTGGACTGCAGCCCAGATTTGGTTTTAGTCTCGGACGCGGTAGGCGATTGAGCACATCGGCCACTTGTCGTACTCATGTTGGTAGCGAAGCAACTGTAGTCAACCCGTTCGCACGTGCTTCAGTCACAAGCAACACAGCTTTTGAGCATAACGTCCTACGGATCACTTGTCGCAGTTTATTTCATGTTCAGCTTGTGCGTCCACATGTGTCGTATGTCGCGGCGAGAGGGCATTAATGTTTGGACAAGCCTCGAAATACCCCATGACGACAATTTTTTGTGGGTCCATCATGGTCTGGACTTCCTTATGGGATTTGAATAGTGTGAACGTTGGCCAGGGCCCGCGGCAAAAGCGCCAGATCCAGAAGCAGGAGGCGGGCCGACGCAGGCTGTCAGGAACGACCGATGACCAGTGTATACGTCATGCAGCGATATGCAGCGTGCTTCGTTCATTAAGTTGTCGGTGGCCGTCATTGAATTATCAGATCATCAGCACGTGCCGTGCAGATGCAGCCGGAAAGCACGCAGGATGCCACTGCAGAAAGTGCTCGTGCCCGCTTCGAAGAACGCCGGCGGCAGTGGGTGTTGAACTCGATTGCAGATGGTGGACCGTCCTGCAGAGCTTCATGTTTTGTTGCATGCACATCGCAGTGTGACCAGCATCCAGGCAAAGATGCGGAGAGATGGTCGGCTCGACATGGAGTCATCTGTCACCGAGCAGGACGTTTCGGGAGAGACGCGAGGTATGGCTTCCCGTGTGTTTTGAGCATGTGCAGGCAGTGCTGGAGAAGCGACAGCAAAAGAAGCAAAAGGACGCCAATGATCGCACCAAGGCTCCGCTCCTGTTGTCTCGGTGACATCTGGGTTGTTTGATGTTTGCTTGCCATCTTGATGAGTGTGTTCACGAGGTTGAGCTGCAGCGGCTGAGAGCTGAGGGCAAGCAGCAGGACCTGGCGGAAGCCTTAGTGCAGAACTTTGTGACTGTGTGGCTCAAGCCGCATGCCCCGTCATCTGGCTCAGGTCGAGCTTCTGCCGACGTTGGGTGGAGATCCTTGGCAATACGGCGTCCGGAGCCGAGTACGGCTCATTGCATTCAGCATCCAAGTTGGATTTGTGTGCCGTGTGTCGACATTCCAGTTTCCTGTCCTGTAGGTGGAATGCTTGCTGTCCATGGGCGCACTAGAGTCGGTTGCGGCAATCGTTCGAGATGACAGGCTCGGCTTCATTGTATCAGTTCCATGGCTCCCATGGAACAGACATCGTTGCAGAATTGCTGCGTTTCTCGCGCCCTTTTCGCAGCCAGATTGGATTAAGAGAGTTGGGTGAGAATGCCGTTGCGTCTGTTGCAACTCAAGAGAAAAAGGCTTCGTTCGTAATTAGAAGAGATGCATCGGACATGAGCAACTTGACAACTCCAACTTATTGAATGTGATAGAGATCTTCAAAGAGCCTTGGCCCCTTGGCCTGGCAGCATGCGGTCCTTCAAAAGAGGTGCCTTGGGCTGGAGACTTTCTGGAGACAAAGGGCAGGCTTCGTGTGCCTGTCCGCTGTGACAGGCACCGCGTTCCCGATCCTTCGGCTTGCCTGCCTGTTGGCCGTGGTCCTGGCGAAGCATGTAGAGAAGGACGATTAGAGGGGAAAGAGAAGGGGTGCCTGGTCATTCAGATGCCATGATGCCTGCATTAGTTCTCAGGACACTGTCGTGGCGACTGCCAAAGAAGCAGAAGTCGCGCATGCGGAGCTGTGCTTAAGCGTTGTCGATCGCAAGAGTTCCTTTTATTGCTCTGAAGGGCTCTGAAACGGGTCACAGCTAAGAAGTGGGCTCTTTCACAGGAGAAGGCGGTTCCAGAAGCTGAGTCGCCCAAATCCGAGGCGCTACCGCAGTGGAGTTGCCTAGGATGCTTTGTTTTTTTTTGACGGGGCTTCTCTTGTCTCTAGTCACTCTAGTCGAATCATATCAGACATATTCGATGCCCAAATTGGTAGCTGAAGCGATCTGAAGAGGAGCCGGGAGCCGAAGCGGAGCTTGGGGGAGAAGAGGAAGTCGAGGAGGAGGAGGAGGCAACGAAGTTTTTCTTCGTTACTGAGGGCCTCCGTCTTTGTTTGACGGGTTGAAACATACAGTGCCTTTCTGAGCATGTTCAGGCTACATCCGTCGATGTGACCGGGGCCGTGTTCTTGCTAGGGGGCGTGACTTTCGTCATGTCCCTGTTTTACTTAGTGTGGCTCGTCGCTATTTGGGTCAGGTCAAGCTCCTTCGTCTAGCTGGTTTGCAGCAGACTTGTCCCGGAAGAGCATTCAACAGTTACCGCTGTTGCATTCCATCTGTGTCGGATTGTTTTGCAAGGCGGGCTTGTTGTGTAACGTAGGCAGTGCTTCTTGTTTTTTAGTTTCTGCGCTGTGCTGAATCCCAGGAACCATGATGACATCGACATCCGGATGCACACCTGGAAGGTGAAGCCGAGCGTGTTTGTCATGCAAATTGTATTGTATGTTGCATGCACGGCCGTTTCGATGTAGGCATGTTCGGGTGGAAGCTTGCCACAAGCAAGATGCACCTGTGCTGCACAGGTCATCAACGCCACTGTTTCAATCTTTGTGGCCGTTTTACTCTTTCAGGCATACGCTGTGTGCGAGGTCAGTGCAGGTGAGGTGGACGGATTGATGATAGCTCTGGAACGTGTATGAAAACACCGAATTGGCTGACAGGGGCTCGCCGGAGTGTCAGACATGATCTGCGACCGGGTCATTGAGAGTCACGTGAAGAGAGAGTTCACCAAAATTAGTGACATGGCGGCATTTTGTTCAGGCTTGCTTGTCTTGTTGTGCATACCAAATGCTTCACTTCCTGCTGGCACTTTGCACTTCATGAGGCATCGCGTACATGACGTTTGCTATCTTCTACTGCCGCCTGCCTTGAGTGAGCTCATCGCGCCTTCGCTTCGCTGAACTCGGGCCATCCAGAGAACCGAGGCTCTTTGCATCTGATCCTGTACAACATAGCCCACATGCTTGGCCCCTGGTTGGTGCGATGCAACCGTCGGCTGCAACCGTTGCATCCAAGCTCCATATGCTGTGGGAGTTCAGGACGGATGAAACTTCATCGAAGAAGTCTCAGGAAGTCGCTTGGATTGTTGGAGGATGCGACCTTGGTCTTGTAGACTTCATGCTGCAATGCCTGCTGAAGACGTGACCGCAAAGGAAAGCTTCAGGCTAATGCACGGTTGCCCGTAGCATGCTGTGTTTCGCTTGGGGATGTGCTCGCCGCTCCTGGTCCATGACCTCCATCTCCGACCTCCATCTCCGCTAGCAGATTCGCAGCCGAGGCAACGTTTTGGAGCCGTGCTAAACCAGTGGAGGCCATCCGATATTGGTCTGAGTAGGCATGAGAGCTACTTGGGCCAGGCTTCTTTCGACGACCTTCAGAAGCGCAAGGTCGGGGCGGGACTTGGGGCCCGGCGTGATGCAAGAATCCGTCAAAGTCGATGCACCTCATCTCACTCCCGGCAGCAATCTTCGGTGCTGTCTTGTGGTGTTCCTCACTGTTGTCTATGCTGCAGATGGCCTGCTGGGCGACGCTCTTCTCCCACATGTCCGGCTTTGCGATCATCCGCTGCAGCCTCGACCTCCAGCAGCTCCAGAGCTTCAAGGCCCGGCCCACGCCCGGCCCAAGCCTCTCTCTGCCCCGAACAAACAGCAGAGCTTCCTTGCAAAGGGGGGGTACAGACAAGCGAGGAGGCAACTGAAAATGTGCCAGGGAGACTGTTTGTGTTCCGGAACCCAAGCCGACGTAACACCTGAAGACGAACAGGAAGGCGTCGCAGTGGTGGTGCCCACCGTCGTCAATGCAGCAATCTCAGGGTCTCTAGCCGGGTTGTTTGCTGTCGTGGTTCTTACGATTTTCTGAGGCTCTGCTTCTTCTGGTCTTGTTCAAGCTCACGGATGCCATGCGTGCTAGAGTTGCCAGTGAAGATCCTCGGTACCAGCTTTGGGAGCATGCTTCCGAGGCCTGGAAGCTGACCCTACGATTATTGTATTGTTATTGTTACTGCTCTAAAGATACTAATACGAATACTGATACTAATACCATCAATAACAATATTTAGTTATAAGTGTTATGGCTGACGATCGATGTCTCGGGAGTAAATGACAGAGCAGAGAGGGCTGGGGGTGCGTGCATGCAGCGTTTTCTTATTCGTGCAAGTCGTGGCTCCGCTACGTGAAGAGTATGGGCACTGAACAAAGCTTGCAGGAAGCAGAAGATGATGCTGAAGCCTCAGCGTGAAGGTTGATAGGGATCGTTTCCAGACTCGTCTGCTTTTGATGCAGGTTGCCGCTATTGGCATCTCCTTCTCCGCCGTCGTGGCTGGAATGCAAGCAGACAACACGACCGAGGGGGGACATATACTCAGAATACACTCAGCATGTTGGTGTAGTTGACACTGTCTGGTTTTGGGGCGCTTTGCTGATGCACCTGATTCGAGGTAGTGCTGCGTGTCTTGGCTGCAGACGTACATGCCAGGGTTCCTGCATTTAAGGCCGCCTTTGCCTCACTGAGGTTTCCTCCTGACCGGCATCATGTCGAATGCCGAGGGCCTTGAACTTCCCGTGCTAAATCATCCCAGCGGCGCCAAGATCGGCATTGGCCCGGGCCTTGATGGCAAGGACCGCAAAGCACAGCTTATAAGCCCTAACCATCTTCCGCAGGTGTTGCGGCTCTCGTCTGTGCAATAACATCGATCTCTATCTTGATGATCCACGCGAAGCTTCCCGAACGAATCTGCTTGTATCGGTTTTTGCCTGCATCCGCCTTTGCCAACCTCCGAGGATACAGGAGCGCAATCATAGAGCTCATGCGCTCGTGGCAAGTCAGTCCACCCCTGTGGAATACCGCCAAAGCTACATGCCTCTCGGCTCTCTCGTCTTTCCTCGAGTGAGTAGCGAACCATGCTTCTTGCCGGCAGGGTCCTTCTTTACTTGGTATTGCCATGTTTTCGTTTGGTGTCACGCGGTGTTCTCAGTCTGCAGCCTGCCTGGCTGTCCCGTCTTGGCAAAGGCAACCGGATCTACCTGGCACCACATGCGTGGGGGCATGAAACTTCTTGTTGATCTTGTTGGTTCTGCTATGACGTATGAGACGTATGAGACATGAAATGCATCATCCCTTGAGTCACTGATGCACACTATTTTCGAGCATGCTTTCATGCATAGTCTTGCGTCAAGCTATGCCGCTATTGCACGATTTTCTGAATTCACTATTCTTCGGGTTTGGTAGTGTCCTTGGTCGAGAGGACGCGCGCACAGGTACTCGACATGAGCCGTGCTCAGACAGCATGCGCCTCTGTGCATTATCGCAAACTCATCCCATAAAAAGCCTAGCGTGTGGCCACATAGTGCTTGTATGATTGGTTGCAACATGCAGGCTTGTCTTTGGGTGATGCTTCGGTTTGATTCTGCATGTTTCCCGAAAGACAGTAGACAGCATGATCTTGCGGACCGTGCTGACGTCGACGCTATATCCAGGCTCGATGTCAGATTTGTGACAGACTTAGGACAAGATGGATTCTGATCTCCAGCAGTGCTTTTGCAACCGGAGCCTCCTGGTGTGCTTTGCCGCTTGCCAGGATTCTGCTTCGTTTGTTGACAAAAGCTGCTGTGTGAACCTTTGATGTTTCTCTAGAGATGGCAGGCGCAGAATGACAATGCTTCAAGCGTGGCAACTGAAGAGCTTCCTCAGTGTCTTTGGGATCATCTTAGGTACAATGTGAAATGGATCCTGTTTGGTGGCTTGGCTTCCGCATGTCTCACCCACCTGCAGCAAAGTGCCCAATTCACATCTCACTTCGACTTTCCTGCTATTCTTCTTGCTAAGCTCATTTCCTGAGCCATTTCTTGCTTGACAAAGGCTTTGAGGAAGCGGCAGATGCCGAAGCGAATCCGAACTCCTGCATCTGGCGCGTGGTCCTCGCCCTGTCGGCCGCCCGTCAGAACTTGGAGACTCTCAAAGGAAGGAAAGCATCGCCCTCTTGTGAGGGCGAAGGCCACATGGGTCCGGGCTCTTTCAAAAGCCTTCTGTGCGAGGTCTCCTTCGGCAGCTTTGTCTTGGTCGGTGCCTCAGCATCCCGGACCCTGGCCACAGATGCCAGAGGTACCAGTTCTTCAGCTTCTTTCGTCCGAGGTCTTGAGTCTCTTCGCCTTTTTTGTTTTGCAGGTCTACTTCCTGGATTGGCTCCAGGACCTGGATTCCACGGATGAAAGCGCTGACCGCGCGATCGGCGAGGTCATCAATGCTGCTTGGGCATACTTGGAATGCTAAAATGCTAAGAACCCTAAACCCTAAACCCTAAACCTTAAACCCTAAACCCTAAACCCTAAACTCAAACCCTAAACCCTAAACCCTAAACTCAAACCCTAAAACCCTAAAGCCCTAAGCCTTGGAGGCTTCTCCACACCCAGCCCAGGCCATCGGTGTTTGTGTTGGCTTCGCCTGGGAGCAGCCTCTTGGAAGCAGTGTGAGCTCGCTTTAAGATGGTCCCTGTAGCTGTAGCCGTTCCGTCCACAGTACCATTCAGAGTGCCCACAGAAACTATCACGGCGGATCGCACTTTCGTGTTCCAAGGGCCTTTGATGCTGGAGTCAACACGATCGGTGCCTTAGCCGCACTTCTGCCGCTGCCTGCAGCAGGGCAGCACTCGGGCAGCTCAGCGATTCCTTGCTGGACCTGCAGATGTGAGCCGTCAGGATCTCTCACGGAGCATTTGGGCCAATACTATCCCATTTGGGCGCGACTCTTCGTCGCGGCTGCTGTAGCGATGGTCTGCTGGTTGCAAGATGTTGTGGCTGTGATTCGCAGAAGAGAGACAGCGCGACGGCAGGTGATGATTCCAGCTTGGCGGTTGTACTTGATCAAAAAATCTCTTGAGCCTTGGCTATGCAGGGCATCTGGGATGAGGGCACTATAGGCTTTTCAGAACATGACACTCTGCTGTCACTCAAGCGCCTGTCCCTGTGGCGCAAGGAGAAGCACCAGAAATGCACAAAATGCGTCTTGGCGGGTCGTATGCTGTGAGCACTCTTAACATTTGGGGAGGAACAGGCTTGCTTGAAAATGGAATAGGGCGTCTGCACGTTTGTCTGTCATGTTGAAGTGCATCGCATGGCACAGTGGCCCTTGCCCCTACTCCGCAAACCTGGCCCATACATTCTGCTAGCAGTAACGCCAAAGGCCCAAGTCATTGAAACCCAAAAGCCCTCCTTCTGTAGTTACACGGCCCTAAACCCTCAACCCTAAACCCTAAACCCTACTCAAAGGATCACCCCACAAAACCCCCAACAGGCTTAGGGCCTAGGTTGGGGATCTTGGGATTTTGGGTTCAGTCTATATACGGTTTATGAGGTTTAGGGTAAGGGCCTTGGTGATAAAAGGTTTAGGGTTTTCAGGTTGAAGCTTTATGATTTTCGGGTTCAGGGTGCCTGCCTGGTTGTTCAGTACCTCACCAGTGGGTCCAGCGCATTCCAAACAATAGACCAGCAGAAAAAGGCTGCCCAAGTCGGAAACAAGAGTCGGGAAGCAAAGACGGCCGAGTCGGGAAACAGCGAGCGTCAAATGAGGAAGCAGGAAAGGGAGGAGTTGGAAACAGAACGGTCCGGCCTGGATAACAGGCCAAGAGAAGGTTGAAATATGGTCTTTCAAGGTCGGACGAACGTTTCCGTAGGTTTGAGTTATAGTTCACTCCTTGGGGTATTGAGCTTGCTTTTTTTTTCTATGGCGCCTGAATTAAACCCTATCTCACATTGGATGCGGTTTAGGGTCGGGTCTGTAGTCCTGCCTCCCCAGTGCACGAATAGGGTTGGTGACTGCCGGTGGGCGAGTCCGAATGGTCAGTGCGTGAAACCATGGTGCCCGAAACAGAAAGCAATGGTGTGGCGCACACGCCTCCGTGCCCCCGTGGGCACGCCGCCTCAACATTCAGATTGAAGCGGACGAGGTTGCGGGAGAAGGGAATTGCGATCCAGCAGGCGAGTACCAGGGGGAGATCCGAACGACGATAGTAAATATGCCTTCACAGGGTAGCTGCGAGGTTGGGTTCGGACTGGCTGACCTTGTTCCAAAGCCAACCGGAAGAGACAGGATGAAAAGGGATCAGCAGATTGAGCAACAGGAATTTGTGTCAGCAGGGGTCGAAAGCTGGCGAAGAGATCGGACGATGAAGTCAACGAGAGTGTCGGGGCAATGTGAGTATACAAAGGACCAAGTTTTGAGCCTTTGAGCCGCTTCAAGGCGTACCCAGCCAAAGCTGAGTGTGCGGCTCACGTGTGGTCCCAACAAACAGGGTTTACCGTGTTGCCTTCGCCTGAAGCCGGCTCGGACATGTTTGTTCAAAGATCCTCTCGAGCAGAGGTGGTGCTGTCTTGCTCATCGACGCTTCGTTTTGCCACCCTGCTGCACTGGGGACTCTCACGGATGTGTGCAGCCGTGGCTATCCGTCGAGCAGTGAGACTCTGCAGGTCACGTGTGTGGTGCGAAAAAACCCACAGCCTGCCCCTCAGAGACCCGAGACTTTGTGAGCAAAAAGGAAAGAGACGGGTGAAATTGGCCAGGCCTCCGCACCTTAGCCGTGGGCCATGGACCTCCCAGCTTCAGGCTCCGCTTCAGCAAGTGCTAGTGGGCTTCGAAAACACGCCCTGACATGGTTGCAATTGTTTAAACAACTCCTTAATTCCTCAGTCAATTCTGCATGTGTTTACACATCTTCTTAGGGTGACGGCTTGACAGCAAGCTTTGCGGAGCCTTCTGCCTGCTCAGGAAAGCGCGGCAGTAAGCAAGGCTTGTTGAGCGATGTGGACTGGCTTTACGTACGCATTCAGTGTCCTCCGTTCAAGCTTCCGTAGCAGATGATTACGAAGCGATCCCGGCTCTGCGTTCGGCCCTTTCCTGCGAGGTTGTAGACCGGCACCATCCGCAGCTGTAGTGATCATGAATTTGCGAACGCGAGAAATCGCGAGAACTCCACTAAAGTGGCAGAACCTGAGAATAGGGTGCCCTGGTCGGTTTGTAAGTTTGATGCTAGACTCACTGTGAGCCTTGCATACACTCATCTCCCTCAACCCCATCGTCAAAGCTGATTGCGCTGTACTTCGAAAGTACTACTCGGACCGAGACAGTGTGATAATGCTTCCTGATCCTACTTCCTTTAAATTGCTCTGATGTTTCACCCGCGAATTTGGGGCAGGCTGCGATAGTTCATTGATGTTGCACAAAGCGGCTTCAGCAACAAAAACGGTCTTGGCATCCGATCCTCCTGCACTCGTTCTTAGTGCGAGCCATTTGTAATCATGTATTCGTCTTTTTGCAGATCAAGGCACCGATCCTGAGAGGAGGCTTTTCGGAGAGCCTCTTGAAGCATGGAAACACCGACACAGCTTCTTTTTGCGGTGCCCGCACGGAGCTACGGTGCACCTCAGTGTTCGACAAGACTCCTCTTGATCAGAAGAGCTTTGCTGATTTCGCTTATGCTGAGGGGCACAGCGGTGTCTTTCCTTACGCGTTGTGCGACTTGCTCTGCCAATACCTGATTTCTTTGGCCCTCATGGTCTGGGACATTCTCGTGCTCTTGACCTAAGTGGTCTGTATTGAAGTATCTGCAAGAGAAAGCCCGAGCCTGGCTGTTTCGAGGGGCGGTTCACGAACTAGACGGACAAGCCGTCAAGCTGTATAGACTCGTATAGCGGTCAGGGACAAAAAGTTCTGCAAGAAGAAGACCATGCCACTAAGGGCATTCAAGAAGGTTCCCTGCGAAGCATGCGGTGAAGTGTTTGTGCCATAGATGAAATCTCACAGAGTGGCCGGAAGATCACCTGTTCTGCTGCCTTGTGCAAGGAGCCGCGTCGCCCCAAAGCACCAGCCTTAAGGAATGGTAGCTTGAGACATCGGGGCTGCAGCGGCAGCTGGAACGCTGACCGGGTCGCCATTCTACACCATACTGTCAAGTGGAGACAACTGAGGAATTGGGCGGAGGCAGCAGTTGCCTTGGCTGACGCCGTACTCTGCATTGACCAGGCCGGACAATCGAAGTTCCATTCTCAAAATACTTCCCTCAGACAGAAAGGCTTCCAACGAAGCCATTGACAAAAGCAAGGCCGAGGAGTAGTGCTTCAAAGATGCATGTCGACTTGCAGCTCGAGGCTCCCTTTCTTTTGCTCCTGTTCCGAAGAGGAGCTGCTGGCTGAACTTATCGACGCAGGGCGCCCGCGTCCGGACCAAAATCACAAATCGGAAGGACCGGTGGGCCGCCTGCCTTCCGTGCTTTTGGATTGAGGTCAGGCACTGGAAGTGTACACCCAGCTGGCTATCCTGGACGTGCCTCCCGCTCGCTTGGTTTTGCCGTCTAGTTCTTGGCAGCATCATGCTTGTAACAGCGCGTTGCAGGCACAGCGTGCCGTGAATCTGCTGGAGAGGCAAGCTCGGTCTCTACAAGTACCTTTTGCTCTGAGCTAGACATTTGTCGTTTCGGACAGGTTCCTATACGAGCAATTTCTCCTTCTCGACCTAGACCTTCGTTCTGTTGACTGTCGTTCCCGGCACGCAGGGCGCGCTGGCCGAAATCGGATGCAGAAAGGGAGGCCACGGTGATGCGGTCATGCGAATTTCTAGCTCCCACAGCACGGATATGGCTCCGCAGGCCGTTGACCAGGTCCGGCAAGGCCCAAGTTGCTCTGTAGCTTTGTGCTTTGTGAAGTGACGCATCTTGAGTGTACCATGGGCGCTGAAAGTAGTCTTTTAACATCAGAAGAAGATGCAGTCCGACGTGCAAAATCGCGATTCAAGCACACTCGAATGGAGCAAACGCGACTCAAACGCGGGCAATTTCACACCTGCGACGACTAGAGCACCGGCAACTCAAGCACCAACGTGGGACCAAACCACCAAGGCAGCACCACCATCTAATCCAAACTTCCCGGTTTCTACTACAAATCCGGTTTGTACATTCAGGGTCTTCGTAGTTATCATGTCCTCATACATTTCACTGCCTACCTTCCATCCAGTCGGCTGTTTAGGCGGCTTATGATTTTCGCATGGATTCCCCCCGTTTCGCTTCCAAGGTTTGGAGTTTTCCGTGCAGGAGCAGATGCTCCTACTCGTCCCCGTTGTTACTGTACGGTCGTTCGTGGTTTTTTATCCTTTAAACTTGTCAACTCTGAATCCTTAAAGCCCTTTAACCCTGAAGCCTTAAACCCTACGCAGCGCAACTCCTGCGTGTAACGGGGTCAGTGCTGCCTTACCCGAGAGAGCGGACAGATTTCATGCAGCGCTTAAGGCTGAGGGATGTGCCTTGAGATATAATTCCAAAGCAAAGAGGCCGGCGAAAATGCTTTTCCGCTTTGCCCTCTGTGCCCGCCGGCTGTTTGCTCGAAGAAGGAGTTCTAGGTGGGGAGTTTCCCGTGGTCTCCTCACACGTTCCAGGCTGGTACGTCCCAAGTTTCGAACTTCAGGGCGTTGTGTCTTTCGCCAGGTCCATCTGTCTGCCCAGACAGTTCTTCATTTCACAAAAAAACAAGCGCTCGGCCCTGATCTGGTGTAGAGCAGGATGCAAAGATTCCAAGAACCTCGATCTGTTTGTGGTGTGAGTCGTTGTGAGCAAGGTAGCTGCAATGTCTTCCGAGTCACCTGGCTGAGAATCCGACACCCTGATGTGGGCTCGCATGGGATCTGAGTACATGGGGTGGTATCGCCTTAGAGGTCCGCTGAAACATCGCTTTCGCAGTCCGCCCGCGACATCATCCTGGCACCGATTCTGACACTGTGATCGCACCATATGTTTCTGGGTGGTTGTGTTCATGATAGACCAAGAGACGCAAGCTTGTTGAGATCATCACGCTGCTGTTGCGGCTGAACTCTGAGGTATCCAAAGTTCTTCCTGAAGTGGTGCCGTGGCAAATTTCACAGGGTCTCCGACTTTCGATATGGTACTGGTAGCAAAGAAGCAGCTTGTATAGAACATCTCAGGTGCTTGCCTCCTTTTATGTGTTTTCTGTGCTTCTGCTGCCAAAGCGCTGCTCGGTCTGCAACAGAGAAATCCCTGAAGCCTGGATGAAGCCTCTCTGAGAAAAGAAGGTCTTGCTACATTTGACGACGGTGAAGTTTGCCATGGCCCTGGACTGTAGCAACATGGCAGAGCTTCTTCCGTTGGATCAGTTCGTGTCGACTTCCGCCAGTGAGGTCAATCTGCATCAGGCGAAAGAGCCACTCGCGGAGGATGCAGGACAGCAACCTGCTACTAGTAGCATATCTGAAGAGCCAGAGAGGCTTGGCTTCAATGTCCAGGCCACATCGCCTTGGGCAAGGCTGATGTTCCCATGCACCCTGGCAGAGATCGAGACATCGACATCTGCGTCGGGAATTCCTCACCCCAGTGCCGGCGCTCTCAGGCAGCTCCTAGACATGATTTCCGGCGGCGTCCTGATGTGCTTCGTCGCCGGTGCTGTACTTCTTCGTGACTTGAGGATGCTATGATGCCCCGAGTGTGAGCTTCCTAAGACTGTCGAAGTCCGGGACTGCATAGGACCTGGAGCAAGTTGTTCTTCTGCAATGGCATACTCTTCGTCCTCAAAGGCTCTATTCTTTCAGCCCGGGCGAAGAGTGAGTCAAGACAAGGCCTCACCGTGCCAGGAGTCTTCGACTACGTCACAGTCCTGCCCGACTCGATTGGGATGGACAAATGTCAAGCAAGGCCCACCTGATCCCACGTCCTTGTGAATGCCCGGCCCCCCACGCGCGTGCACGCGCGCGCTGGCGCTGCGAGGCTGGGCGTCGCACCACTGAAGGAGTTCGAGAGACTTGGCAAACTCAGCGGCCGCTCGCGAGCACTTGGATCAATGATAGGAAATCTGTGGCGACACGTGAAAATCCAGGCCAAGACTTCATCGATGCCATGATCTCCTTGGAGCTTCGTGGCGTGGGCGGGACATGGCCAGTTCGGTACTGTGCCGATATGCTCTTGAGCGGTCATACCTTCGTCTCTTGACTGCCCTGGCATTGTTGCAGATGTCTTTTTCAATGTTTGCGTTTATGCCATGGCTACGCAGGTGATGCTGCTCTATTTGCTGGCCGTGGCTGATCTAGGGCAGCGGGCGACGCTGCTGATGGAATCTCCACAGAGCCGCTCGGACGGCAGCAAAGGGACTCTCCATGATCTCGGAATGACCGACAATTTTGTGTGCGACCCTGAGGAGAAATCTGCCAGGCGCTCATTGGCACTTTGGATCAATTACGTGCCTCTGTCACATGACATGGCATGTGGTGTCATGCGCTAGCCCTGCTCAAACACTGGTGGCTTTCGGCAGCCGGAAGTGCTTGACCTTTGGAGACTTCACGAGCTGGCCAAGCACTGTTCGTGCTGGGTGCCGTTTGTCTGTTTGGGAAGCTGGATGTAAGGTATCTTTGCACTTTGCTGCACCGCAGCCGATCTGTACTTGATTGTGATCAACCACTTCCACTACACCGTGGATGTTGTCATGGCCATCGTGATGACGTTCTTACTCTACACAAATGCAGGCCGTGCTGTGGGGGAGCTCCATGAGATAGTGTCAAACATCCGGGATGGCCCAAACACACGAGTGAACATCTTCGCCGCGCCATTTTGGGAGCCCCAAGTTCTCGGAGACCTGTCAGTCCCGGGCAGACACAAATCGGGTGCAGGCATGGCCGTGGTGGTTCAATGGTATGCTTCTGAACACGGCGAGGGCAGTCGGCCCTGCTCTCAGATGATCTGCACCTGGGTCCTGTAGTCTTGCCTGGGATGTTGCAACTTCCACGACCTTCGAGGAATACGGAGGACAATGGAATGGTGTGGGTTCCGACAGCGATGTTTCCTTTCTGCTGCTTTGGTGGGTACTACAAAGTGAAAATGCGCCACGGTCGCAGCCACTTTGTTGTGTTTCAAGTCAGTACAAAAAATGCCTCGCGGGATGGCCAAGGCTTCAATCAAAGGAGGTTCTCCAGCGGCAGGCCCGTGGCCTTTTTGTTGTTTTCATCAGCGCGGTGGGAAGGGCAGAGGCCCCATACACCCACGGCGCGAGGCAGCGGATGGAAGCGCAGCCTGGGAAAGGCTGGCCGCGCCTGGGCCGGAGGCGAGATCCAGAAAGCGTGACTTCAGTTCGTTTGTGCTTTGTGCTTGTGGCTTCCAGGCCAAAGACTATGGCACGATGCAAGCCCCAGCACAGGAGAAGACTGAGGCGAGAATGCAAGCATGCTTGCGGCATGCAGCCCATGAATGTGGCATGCTGGGAGGAGCTGGCCGACCCGTGAGCCGTTATGACCAGTGCCAAGGAAGCACTTGAAAACAGTCTTTCATGGTGGTTGGCGGGTGCCCCATCTGCCATCTGCTGTGTACATAGACAGTTGCATCTGTGCTGGCACATAATATTCTCGCTTTTGCCCGAAGCCAGAAGTGTGTGCCGAACCGGCTGGAAAGATCCACAATCCATGCATCTTGTGCACGACTGCGTGGGAGAAGGATTCATCAGTTCGACGGTCTGAGTGTAGCTTTTGTGGCTGTGCAGAAGCCGGCGGCGCCTTCGAGAAGGCCTTGTCACGGCTGAGCGGGCCGCCTGGTGTCCCCAGTGAGAACGCTAGCCTGGAATGGGCACCTTGTGGCACGCTGACATGGGCTGAGCTCGGGGCAGCTTCTGTGCTGACGTGTCCAGGCTCTGCTCCCAAGCTGTCTGCGGACTGGCACTTGAAGGAGGCATGGGCTGTGCACAGTCGCGGCACGGCAATAGAGCTGACCTGGCTTTGCAGCTACGCCCTCCTTGGGAAGGCCAATATGTCACACTTCGGCTCTGGCAATTCGATCGGGGTCTGGCCGCCAGACCCCCCCCTTCAAGCATTTTGTCGCGGAATGTCGCAACACGAGTGGGATTCAAAGTTGGAGTTCCACTTGCTTGCAACATGCTGTAGTGGAGCTCTCGTCCTGTGTTGCTTGGTCCGAGGCTTGGAACGACGAGCCCAATATGGTGAATCGATGGAATACCCTGGTGCTCCCGGACACGTCCGTTAAGCTTCTGCTCTCCTGCTCACGGTGGCTGCTTTTCATAGCCTCCCTATGTGCTGAAGCTTCATCCTAGCTGGTGCCTCGCCTGCTAGATTCGCCTGGTTGCAAAGCGCCGCCGAATGCAAGATGTTTTCCAGGCAGGGCCTGCAAAGATGTCGTTGCAGCAGGGCAGCAGGGCAGCTATTGGTGAGCCGACGTGTCTGCTGTGTTCGTCGCTGGTGGCCTCTGCGCTGAAGGACAGCCTTGAGTACACAAGCATGTCTTATGTCCTTGCAGGTCTACGATGCCATGCGAGCATTGTGGGTTCGGGCGGACCGGACGCCTTCAGCCGCTTCTGAATCGCATCGTAACTGGAGCTCTTCATCTGGTGTCTGCAGTCTGCAGGATCACGGGACCACGGAGTTTATTGCAAGAGCAGCAGTGGCAACCTCAAGAGCGACAGAGGCTGCGATGATGAGTCCATGCTTCGGATGTGGACAGGTGGCCACCGTGGATCTTAGCGGCCTCGTGGACTCGCTAGGGACTCTTTGTTGGCCGCAGCTCTCAAGACGCTCCGTTTGCTGTGATCCTTGAGGTTTCATACGATGCCGCCAGCTCGATATCCCGAGGTTGTCTTCGTGGGCTGGCCCGTTTCCGAGACGCTCCTCAAAGATATAAAAGCATGAAGTTCTTCCGGATGACCAACCCTTGAGACTTGAGACCGAGGTCCAACGTCGGCAAAAGCTCCTTAATCAATTCTCTCCTCCATCGCACAGCCAAATGCTCAGCATCTTGCCGAGGTGTTTTCTGCCACGTACACTAAGCCGTAGATGCCGTGTTGAAAGCTTTGGTCAATCTGTGCAAAGTGCTTTGTCAGGCTGTGGCCCCCGTGTCCACGATGCCCGGGAAGACGCACCTTCCTTAGCAAAGTTCGCCTCTGCCCTGACCCCGTGAGTACTTTCGATGCATGTCTCGTGTCGCAAGGACTCAGTTCCATTTCTATACGATGAACGAGCACAATGCAGCTTTCCCGAAGATGACACTGGTTGACGTGCTCTCCTAAAGGCCTTTGATAGTCGACATCGCCGCTTGGAGAACTTATCGTTTCCCAAGGTTCCTGGCATTGGCGAGGCCATGGCAGACGAGGTGCAGACGAGGCCACTCTTTTCCAAAATAGAACCTTTAGACCGGTCAGATGAAGCCCAAGAGATCGCTGAGCTGGATGAGTATGTTGGCCCATGATGGCTTTCAAGGGCCCAGGGATGAGATGTTGTCTCGAATCTATCCAGTTTCTTTCCCAGCAGCTTGTGGACTTTTTTCAGAAACGCGGTGTGTATTCTCCCCAAAAGTTCAAGAAGTCTCCGTCTGTGGTCTCCTCGCTACTCTTAGCTTTTGCCCTTGCTCCGTGCATCAAGTGCTTTTTGCAGTACAACTGCCGACCGACAGGCACTGGAGGCGAACTCTCGACTTGTGCGCCTTTGCACAAGCCAGCTCGAGGGTTGGAAAGCAATTTGTTTGTGCGTGCCCCTTCCCTCCTCCCCGCGTCTGCATGGCATTGCAGGTACTTGAAAGAGCGTGGTCCGACGCTGCGCCAGGTTTTTCACTTGATCAGCTGCGAGGCCCAAGTTCCTGGAAGTGGACATGGGAGTCTCAAATGAGTTCAAGATCTGGATCCTGTGAAGGTCTTGCTGCGTCGGCAGAGACCCTCTCCTTTGGACGTTTCGGTGATGGAGCCTCTTCTGCATGTGATAGCCGGTGTTTTGGGGCGTTGCATGGAGCCGGACAGGAGAGCTAAGGAGATGTGCCTCCATCACCGAAGCAAGTTCAACTTGGATTACACCTTGGTGCCTGGACTTTAGAGATGCTCCGAGAATTGTGGGCCAGACGAGGCTTTGGCTTTGACCTGAGGTGATCACAAAGATTGATCTCATCAGGAGCAAGAGAGATGCCGAGCCGTTCCGGCTCGACTTTGACGTTGTAGCAGCTGTCGTGCACGCTGCATATCTTCGCAGGGATAGATCCGGAAAGCTGTGCAGCTCGCCAGGACTGTGTACGAGAACCTGTGCAAAGTTGTTCGCAGGCTTCGACTTGGCTCAGCCAAGGCCCTGATTTCAATCTTGTGCCTGACGAGAATGGATGTGACCAGGCAGAGTGTAGGGTCTCGTTAACTCGCGCCGACCCGCCCTGACAGATCGTCCCGGCCAGCGTGCGCAGCACCACTGGCCGCGTGCTGCTTTGGAAGCGCTTGTGGAGGTAGCGGCCCTCGGAGCTTCTCAGGGGGGTAGGCAGTGATGAAGCAGAAGTCTTTCATCACACAGTCATGCTCGGTTTCCGCAGATGAGCTGCGTTGATTCACGTGGAGGAGCGAGATTTGGCTAGTGCAGCTGTAGCTTCAGCTCGTTGGGATGCGCACCGTGGTGCACCTGCACAGCCGCGGTAAAGGCGAGTTTGGGCCTGGTGCCAGGTCCGTGGATCCCGAAAACACTGCGCACTCATCGCAAGATCTCAGCGCCCTCCGCCAGGCGAGGCTTCGAGTCGGTTTTGACATGGGGTTCCGAAAGTGAAAACGCTGCAATTCCTGTGAAGCACCCAGTGGTCCATGCAGTCTTCGCCTGATTCACCATGAGTCATCTCCTTTTTTTCCCGACTTGGCGCTTTGCCTTCTCTTCACTGGCGGTGCACATGGATAGTTTTCTATATCAGGGTCCCTTTTTAGGTCCACAATATAGTACGGTACCCATATAAAAAGGATCCCCAAAAGGGACCCTATTTTAGAGAACTACTCACATGCATCCTCGGCGACCCCCTTTTGCTCAGGAGGTGGAGCGGCTGGTCGAAGAAAAAGATGCCGAGGCTTTGATCACACGAGCCAAGGAGGCTGCCGAGCGGAGCCCATGGAAGTTGAGAGGGTGTAGGGCAGTTAGGGTTGAGGAAGCTGGTGTGTGAGCTCCTCTTTCCAGCTTGGTGTGAAAGGTCATGTTGTCAGGGCTGTACCAATTTGTCGTGTTCGCACAGGAGTCTGGAGATGGATGGGAATGCATCGTTCGGGGAATCCTGGCTCTTGGCAGACTCCATGATGCCTGGCACATCATCCAGGCACCTCCAGTTGACGGCCGTGAATCGCAAGCCGTGAGTAGAGCCCGAGAAAGAATTGAATGCAGGTATGGAGTGGTGCCACGAGTAGAGAAGCAGCAACTGTAGCCATTGTTACTGATGCCATCTGCTCTTGCTGCTGCCCCGTCCTCCACGATGTGCTACTTGTGTTTCTTCTACGATCATTAGAACTATGCAGACTCTATCCCTTTGTCTGTCTCTCTCGCGCCCTCGCGCTCGCGCCTGCTCCAAGACTTCGACGAGTCCCATTCGGCACGTTTTTTTGAAGGGCATCCGAGGTCCTCGGGCGAGGCGGCGTCCCTCTCAGGCAAACCAGCGATTTTTCAGTGAAACGTCGCTGCTCGCCCGGCGGCCTTGGTGCAGAGAGCCCACACTGCAGAAGTGAAAGCTGGTTTTGGTCGAGCCAAAAATTCCAGCCATCAAGCTTCTCGCTCACTTTCACATGCGCGTCAGCTTCCGATCGGGCCAGCTCATTTGTCACGGCCGCAAACTCCATCGATGCCGCTGTGGGTGGTGGGTGCATGTCGCAGTAGTCGTTGTCATTCATCGCCCCACAGCTGCTTTGTGAGAAGCACCGGCAGTGCAGCACTGCTCGCATGCGAGGCCGGTCCGCAAAGAGCCCAAGGTTTGGAAGAGCATGAAACTGCGGAGGTCCCTGAGTTGCCTTTGATTTTGTACTTGGAACATCACCCAGTACTGCTCCCTCCCCTACTCAGAAGATCTCGAGAAGGATGCCATCGAAGATGACATGGAGATGCTCAAGGAGGGCCTCTTGGAGGCCAGGGGCGCAACTTCGACGGATTTTCTGACTTCTTCGGCTTCGGTGTTTCAGACGACGTCGCCAGGCTGCGGAGGCCGGGGAAGAAGCCGCGCAAGACAAGGCCCGGTCTTGCGGCCTTGTCGGATTCGCGAACAAAATCTCAGCGCTGGGTCCCATAAAGTTGTGTGGCTTTCACAGACGTAAGTTCTTTGGGATGGCAGCAACTTCGGTCTCGATTTCGCGTGCCAGGACGACGAAGATGCACAAGAAGCGTCGGAGGCTGTCTGGCTGGGGAGTGGGGCGTGCAGGTCAGTGCACACAGCACGATCACTGTTCGCGCGCGTTGTGTGTATGTGTGCCTCTGTGCGCGTGACTAGCGTGAGATCGTCTGCGGTGCGAGCATACACTAGGACTCGGGCACTCCTGAGGACGAAGCAGGCGACTTCTTCGGCATCCCTGAAGACCTAGAGTCTGAGCAGATGGCTGCCATGCAGGTGTGCAGTGCTTGGGGCCACCGCAGTCTAAACCCCAATGCCCACAACGTCCCCAAAACCCTAAACCCGAAACCCTAAACCCTAAACCCAAAACCCTAAACCCTAAACCCAAAACCCTAAACCCTAAAACCTCCAACAAAAATCCATGGCCCTTCGCTCTGAGAGGAGAGGGCGGCCCTTGCAGTGGGCGAGGCGGCCTTGGCACCGAAGAGTGAGGGCGGCGAGCCCTTGCAAGGGCCCCTGGGCGTTTCGGAGAAAGTGCTAAAAAGAAAGACAAGGTTAATTCTAGCATAGTGCATGGGAGAAGGCAGGGCTTCACCGCAAAGGGGGTTTGATGTCGCGGTGTGAGCTCTCCGCTGAAGGCTGGCCCCGCGCGACCCCGCGCTGGCCGAGGAAGTCGCAATGCTGCTGAGCAAGGAACATCGTGGGGCGGCGGCAGAGCTGCTGAGCCTTGGATGCAGCCGCCTCTAGCAGGGAAACCGCTGAAAGCCGAAAGCGGTTGCAGTATCTCAGGATGGAGCAGGTCGTCGCACTTGCACGGCTCGAGAGCCTGGACTCTGGCCCTGGCCAATTTCCTCGAAGTTTCGGAAAGCTCGAAGCGCTGCTGAAGCAGGCCAAGGAGGCCCCAAACGCGGATCCGGATCCGGGAGGTTTTTGCACAAACTGGAGCTGCACGGAGCCAGGATGCCATCTTCACGCCCTGGAGCGCCGACCGCCCTCCCCCCACAAGCAGCATTGCCCGTTAGCCGTTACCCCTTCGGCCGCGATGCTGCCTTGAGACTCCGACGTCAGGCTGGAACAGATTGCTCCGAGTGGTTGGCAGCCAGTCCACTCCTCAAATGTATTGGGCTTGCGGCTCCGAAGCATCAAGCCTCGGTGAGCAGTTCCAGGGGCAACTTGCCCGCGGTTGAGAGAGCTCTGCCCTCAGCAAGAAGAGCAGCACGACAGCAGGCGACTCGCGTTGCGTTCCCAACCTCTAGGTGCTGGACTATATGTCGCAGTTTCAGGTCACTGGTGACCAGGCGAGACAACGTTAGCCAAGCACTCCGGCTGTGCAGCAGGGATAGGATCATGGTGCTTGCAGCACTATCGGCTTTCTAAAGTCCCTACTTGGAGGTTCATGGGTAGTTATAAATAGGGTTATAAGTAGGGTAACTATACTTATAACCCATATTAGGGGACTTATAAACCCACTTATAACTACCCATGAACCTCCAAGTAGTGCCACCACTCCGCAAGGAAACGGATGCCGTCATGGCCGAGTTGGTCTGGGGCTTCGGCTCGAAGCGTCATGGAGCTTCCATGCTCGCACATTGGGGCCTTAATAATTACCTATATTATTTGGGTGGTTCCTTATAACATGATCCCCAAAACCCTATTCTAATTAACGAAGACTGCTCTTCTCTTCCAGGTCGTTTCATCCGTGGACCTGGGCGGGCAGGCTGAGAAATCAGAGAGGATCTAGGTTTCTCAAACGCCACCCTAAACCCTAAACCCTAAACCCTAAACCCTAAACCCTAAACCCTAAACCCTAAACCCTAAACCCTCACTGCACGCCAGCTGTCGGAGGCCCCTGGCCCCTGCGAGCGGGATCCACGGAGAAACCGCTTCTCCCGACTCAGAACCTCCAGAGTCACTCGGCCCTCTTTTCTGAGGCTGGACCCAGGGCCAGGTTCCGCTCCCAAGGCCGGAGCTCCGCGATTTTTGCACGGGACATATGATAAATAGCTGTGTGTATTTATACGTATATGATCCGTATATGTGTGTATGTTTTGTTTGGTTTTGAATAAAAAATAAAGAGAGAGAGAGAGAGAGAGAATATATATATATATATATATAGGTATATATATATATATATAGACTAGACTTCGCCCCCGATGGCCAGGTCCTCTTCCTTGGTGGTCGTAGTTTCTCCTCGCGGAATGGAGGCTGTCATGAGCTCCTAGCTTCAGTGGGACCTGTTTTGCCGCAGGTGGCTTAGGCAGATTCGTCTCTCAAGGCCGCATGTTGCCTGCTTCGTTGCCGCCCCGGCTCTGCAGAGAGGTGTTTCTGCAATCATTCCAATCATGTGTGCAGCAACCGCCACTACAGGGTCAGCACTGCGGCCACGTGATAAGGAAAGCCACTTAATGACCAAAGTCGAAGGCATTCTGCGCAGAACATACCGAGGGAGGGCTCCAGATCCACTGATCGTTTGTGTCCACATCACTGAGAATGGACGCGATGAATGGACAGATGGGCGGAAAAACCAAGCCCGGTGCGCCTCCCTGTGCATCTCGGAATCTCTTAGCTCGTTTGTCGGCGTCCAGATCGAGATAGGGGGCAACTACGCCTGCTCCCTGGGACGTTCAGGCCATAGTGCGTTTACTAAGGCACGGGTTTTTGTCAAGAACCTTCCCGGTGGCTCTACCGACGACAGCGTGAGGGCGATCTTCGAGAAGTTTGCCAACGTCCAAGGCGGATCCGCCTTCGCTTCTCGATGTATCTCTCTATATATATATATATATACAAGTAAATATATGCGAATAATAGATAGATAGATAGATATATATATATATATAGGTATGCACACACATAGGATCTGTGGAATTCTACACAACATGTCAACGAGGGAGGCACACGCATTTCGTAGGGTTCAACCAATAAGTTCGGCCCCCTGACTTCTTAAGCCCACTTTAACTAGACATCTCTCTACACCCATCGACGTCAGTAGTGGATAAGGGCAAACCCTGGCCAAAGGCGTCAAAGTTCTTGCGCCTTCCATGGGCAGAACGACACTCGCGGGCTATGTTACCTTCGCAAGCGTGGACGAGGTGTTGAGTAAAGAGAAGAACCGAGAACCATTGGAGTTGTGCAGGTTGCATGGAAGCTGGCTGAAGACATCCGCTTTAAGCTCATGTGTACATGCGAGGGTTCCCATTGACGGGCTCTTAGAATGCAATCTTTGCTGGCGTGGGAGACTTTTCAGCCGCAAGAATGTAATTTTGTCTTTAGAACTGCTTCCAGCCACCGAGTGGGACAGCTTGCGCATTTGCACTTGCTGAAGAGTTTGAGCTGCTACGTCGAAGCCGGGCTTTGGTCGCATGGATACCCAAAGCTTGGTGCAAGGGTTGGCTCGCATTGGCCAGCAGTGCCCCATTATCTTCAACCCTGGGGAATATAGGCGCCGTCTACACGATACCCAACTGCAACGAGGCGACGTGGGTTGTCGAGAACATCAGTGACCATCCCCTTGATGGCCTGCCAGAACCCGTGTAGCCTTGCGGCATTTTTCTAAGACTTCCGCAGGAGCAGAGGCAACCTAATGGACGTGACCCCTTGTGCCAGGTCAATAAGTTTTGCTTACGAGCCGGACAGTGTCAAGGGCATCAGCAAAGGCCTCCTGTTTCAGCTGCTTCTTGCTAAAGAACCAAAAGTAACATACTCAACGGCATACTTGTGATGTGCATATACACCTTGTGCACACGTTGTTACGGCGCATCGAGTGTAAACACCCGGGTTGGTAAAAATCTCAAACATGTTAGCGTTTCATTTACCTATGCTGGCATCGGGGCATTTTTGCCATATGCGAAGGCTACACGGGAAAAGGCGGCATGATGTGTGGAGCCTGGCATTTGTGCGTGCCGCACTGACTGGCCGATTGCTTCCGCAGCTGTCGCACATCTAAGGATGGGAAAAGGCATGATGAAAGGAGGGCCCTATGGCAAGGTTGGTGGCTACAAGGGTAGCTACAAGGGCGGACCGATGGATTACAAGGGCGGCATGGGAAAAGGTTCCGGCTACGACGACTATGGGGACTACGGAGGGTATGGAGGCTATGGGAGCTACGGAGGCTACTCCAGCTACTCAGATTACAGCGGTGGCTATGGGCCAAAGGGAGCCGGGATGAGCGGATTGAAAGGCCCAGGAATGAAGGGCTCCATGGCGAAGGGGGGGATGGGACCAATGCCAGGCACCATGAAGGGCATGTCCAAAGGTGGTGGCATGGCATGGGGCAAAGGCTATTAGGCGTGGGCAACTGCGCCTCCAGATGCTCCGGCATCTCAGCTGCACCTTTTCATGAGAGCAAGCCAGGTTCGGATGAATTCTGCAAAGTCTAAGGAACGGACCCAGGAACCGCTGAGTGACGTTAGCAGCCGTTAGCACGTCTCCAATAGGGCATCCGTTCATCTGTCAGGCCCGGCTGTGGCTCCGTGATGGAAACTCAGAGAAATCGAAGTCATGCTCAGGGGCACAAGACCAGCCGTCTATTGTAACACTTAGTGTTTGAATGGGAGCCAGGCATTTGCACTGACCAAACTGACATAACATAGAGGCACAGTGCGTCCAGAAGTGTGATGACTGTGAGCTTCGCTGGTTCATGGAACATGAAATGAACCCACTCCGCAACGCTGGGGTGGGCACAATGACGACTGCATGCAGATAGCACCGCTGTCATGCCAGTTCGGCTTAACTCAAATATGCTCTGCGTGGCCACGCTTTAGTCAAAAGCGATTGCCCTGGCCTTTGGTTGCGTTGTCACTTCGATTGCGCAATTGAGTTGCATGGAATTTCATTGAGATTTGTGTAGTCGTGCCAGGCCCTGATCGTGCTGCCATAGCAGATGCCATTGTGTCCACGATTCCGAGACGGAGGACAGCTCCATTGTGGGAGTGTTATACAACAATCCCAACCAGCTCTCCAGGATTGAAGACGAACTCGCATCTGTGAGCAGGGAGAATACTCGCAAGACTCGAGGCTGACTGCGTCGGTTTGCAATCCTCCTTGTGGCGATTGTCGTCTTCGAATGAGGTTTATCGCCTCTCCCTGTTGCTCTCCGTCAGCGCTTCTCGAAAGTTTCTCCGCACTCCCACTCTCTCTTTTTTCGCTCAGGATTTTTCTTAGTATTGCTCTCATTACTACTAGTACTGTTGGTGTTTCTTTCGCTCCTCTCTCTCTCTCACTCTCCCTCTCGCTCTTCTCTATATGGATGGCTCTCTTCTCTCTTTTTCATGCCCGGAGATCAGGCAAGAAGTCTTCGCAGCCGTGAGCTTAGCAGTGCCCCGCCTCTTCCTTCACAGGTAGCAAGCTGCTCAGAGCAGCAGTGCATCGCATTTCAGAAGCTTTCAGAGGTTTTTGCGGGTTGAGCGAGCCGTCTTGTTCAGTATACATTCGGAAGCACACGGAGCTAACAGACGCTTGCAGGCAGTTGGACGTCCCGCTGGTGTTGTGCTCAAGTGTCACGCAGTGCCTGCACTGTGACTTGTCCAGGCCTTGCAGCTTTATGTTCTGAGGCCAGCTTGTTGAACATCAACAAAGCTCCCTCGGGTCAGGCGCAGCCAGACTGAGCTCTACTGGGCGGTGCATCTGACTCTGCGTCGGTAAGGAGGTGTCGGTGCCAGAAGTGACGCTGCTGTCGGTCCCAGCACTTCAGAGACCGTCGGTGCTGGTCTTGGTGAGAATGCTCATTCGGATTGCCAGCTGCCGAGACCTGAAAATCTGTACGCAGACCTCTCAAGCGCCTTTGGGAGAAGCTAACGAAGCTGTCTTTTTTAACATCTTCGGCGATAAATGTGTTGGTGTTATGCGGCCGCCTTGCCACTCACTTCGATTTGAGGTTAGCCCAGTACGCTGCATATGCTGAAGTCGCGTCGCATTGCGGCTATATACTCTTGAGTTTTGCAGAACGCTTTGGCACTCTGCGGTCCATATTGTGTCAGTCACAGCAAGCCGCCTATGTATGGAACGTCCTCGCCCGGGAATCGCCAGCCGTGGCACTCGGTAGTGCCTTCCGGAGTACATGCTTGGCGAGCCCAAGCGACATGCCGGTGGGGCGACTGTGAGGCACATCCGGCTCCTTGTTCTCGAACTGCCGCTTCTGCTGCTGTTTTGGTGCGAGGTAGCTCGGCGTCGAAGGGCTCCGAGCTTGTCGAGGAACTCGGACGGGCGACGAACCGAGACTCCCACCCTGTTCGCCAGAGGGTTCAGGTGCTCCGAAGCGCATGCAGCCAGTCAAAACCACATGTAAGCAGCTCTCTGCCAATCATGTACTAAAGCAGCACCGAGGCCACGCCATAGTCTTTCTGCTTTGAGCACTCTCGGGGCGCTGAGCCTGGGCCTGTGTGTCAAGGCTTCGGGGCAACGAGGCTCGCATGGCTTGAGATGGCTGCAGGGTTCTTGGATGCTGCAAAGAGCCCCATTATTACTAGATTGCTGGGAGAAACAAGCGGTTCTTCACATGTACCTTGAAGGGTTTGATGAAGTTTTATGGGATAAGCTAATTGTTACTGTGCATCACCACTACCATGAAGATTGCCAGTACCATTACCATCATCGTTACCATCAACATTAACTATTGTTCTTCTTCTTCGTATTCACACTAATGTTAGTGTTAGTATTAATATCAAACTAACAACAATATTGATATTCAAATTTAATGTCAATACTCCTATAAGCAATACTGTTATTATCATGCTTATTCTTAATCTTGTTACTGTTGCTGCTACTACTATTACTACTACTACTACTACAGCTACTACTACTACTATTACTAC